TTACCGCATAAACAAAGATTTAACAATTTGTGTATATTTGTTATGACTAAAGTCCACCATTAGCAGATATTGTCCTTTTTGGGGTTTCTCTTTCGAGCTTTCTCTCAAAGTTTTTTAAAACGTGTCTGCTAGGTTGAGGTTTCCACACCCTTATAAAGAATGTTTCGTTCGCCTCTCCAACCGACGTGGGATCTCACAATATTAATTTTACCACTTATTTCAAGTAGAAGATTCATTTGGAATCAAACGAGATTTTTCTTAAGGTTGTATGATTGTGTCATGAAGTTCTAAGTCAAAGGTTAAATTCGATGAAATTAAAGAGTTAAATCCACCTCCTAAACCAATTACTTACATGATAACAAAGAGAAGAAAACTCGTCACAAGAACAGCAACATTAGCTTAAGTTGAAGACACTCCATTTCCAAAATGTAGAGGGAAAGACTAGATCCCAAGTGGAAGATCACATTGGTTGCTTTTGTAACTTAGTAGAAGAGGCAGAGCATGTGAAATGATTCCCTAAAAACAATGAAATGATTTTGAGATGTTGATGTGTTTTTGTTTGTGCTTATAAAAGAGAGAAATTTCAATTATGGGTTGGATTGGCGTTATTGGTTTGCAGGTGAAGTTATGTTTGAAGAGTACGTGTTGGAGTATGGAAGGGATTGCCTCCAAATGCATGTTGGCGCTGTGGAGGCGGGCGAACGTGCTTTGGTTGTTGATGACTTGATTGCCACCGGCGGCACCGTCTGTGCAGCCATCAATTTACTTGGTATTTGTTCTCCAATCCCTTAACTTTGCCTGCCTATTTTGTCTTTTGAATCCCTTAACTTTGCCGGCCTATTTTGTCTTTTGAATTCCTGTTCTTTGTTTGAAAATGATGATTGTCTGATTTTCAAGTCAATTCGTTAACATTGTTAGATCCCACCTCAGTTGGAGAGAAACTAAATATTTTTTTGAGGGAAAAAAGGGAAAGCCCAAAAAGGACAATATCGGTTAGTGGTGGTTTTGTGTCGTTACAAATAGTATCAGAGTCAAACACTAGGTGATGTGTCAGCGAGGAGGTTGAGCCCCAAAGGGGGTGAACATAAGGCGGTGTGCCAATAAGGACACTAGGTCCCGAAGACGGTGGATTGGGGGGTCCCACATCGATTGGAGGCTATGGGCGATGTGTCAGTGAGGAGGTTGAGCTTTAAAGGGGGTGGGCCTGATAACGAGTGACAGCGAGAACACTGGGCTTCAAAGGGGGTGGATTGTGAGATCTTGCATCAGTTGGGGAGTAGAATGAAACTTTCTTTATACAGTGTAGAAACTTCTCTCTAGCAAATGCTTTTTATAAACTTTGAGGGGAAACTCGAAATACAAAACCCAAAGAGAATAATATCTGCTAGCTTAGTTTTCAGAATAAGATAAGATTCAATTTATCTAGAAATTAGTGGATAATATGGTAAAATTAGTTGGTAATATGGTAAAATTAGTTGGTAATATGGTAGCACTAGAAATTTTTCTTAGATAATTTCATCTAAACTTTAGGCTAAATTTTGATAAGTTTTTCTTTTTTCTTCTTTTTCAATTTACGAGAAGTAAACTCAGAACTACACCTAAATATTAAGTACTGATTACATATATTTAGCCTAAAATTTTAAAACTTCAAGTACTTTTAATTTTTTTTAATTTTTTTTTTCTTTTTTCAGCAAGTTCACACAACCATGCAATTAGCTATAAAACATTTTTCTTTTTTGCTTTTTCATTGCCTAATTGAATTGAGAAACTTATGTTATTTCTCGAACTAATTTTATTTTATTAAATTAAGAAGGTATCATTTATATTTGTTACTTTGTATATGATTAATTTGTTTTTTAAATTTAAATGTTTACCTTTTTAAATACTAATGATTTAAAATTATAAAATAACTAATCTAAAATACAATTGGCATATTTTAACGCCAACAAATAATATATATTTTTAACTATCATTAGTTAAAAATATATAACTAAAAAAATAAGTTTTAGAAAAGATAATATGTTCAAATATCTGGTTAAAATTCTATGATAAATAAAAATAATATATTTTTGTTGATTAAAAATATAAAATCGATATTTGTTTAAGTTGGTCTACTATTTTATTATTATTATTATTTTTATTTTTTTTGTGTCAAGTTCCGTTCGTGTCTTACTTTTCCTTCAATCACGGCGCAATCTTTTCAAGTAGGGTTGTTTTCATAGTCATAGTTATTTAGAGCATGCATATCATTTCTTAGAGGTAGTAAGGTCATTTTCACTTTTTGCCTATTAATGTCATGTTGTTGCACAAGGCCAACTAATTGGCATCTCTGATAACTTATCCTCTAACACGTCCCTTATGATATCAATATTAATGGGTCTAGATTGTAGTAATTTTGTGATCTCAAATTTAAAGATTCTTAATAGTATTTGATGGCATGTACGGAGGGTATCTATGCTTGTGCCTTTCCAAAATGAAATTATTTTTTGCATTCCAAAAACAAATGAATGATTATGCACTCTAGTTTAATTTTACTATGCAATTATAACTAAACCCATACATCAACCATTTCTTAAATTAACGTCATGAGGCACTCCAAAAGTGTTCAAGGAAACAGAGAACACGTGTAGACTAAGGTAGATGATGCAAAATTTGTGGAGTTCCTCTAGGGTGGTTGTAGGTCGGATAACAGGATGTCTAGGCCCGAGTATTTACTATAGGTAGAATTGTTGATGAGAAAAATATTAGGACAGTTAAAGCAACATCGATGATAGATTGTAGGGCAATGAGTTTAAATGTGTTGCTTGATGCATGGGTTAAGATAAGATTGCATAGCGAGATTAAACTTATTATATTAATGTTTATAATAATATATTTTATTTTGGAGTGCAGAATCATCCTAGTGTAAACGATTTGTAGACTGAAATTACTACTTTAAAATTCATTTAAGTTCAAAATAATTAATACAAAAAAAAAAAAAACTTTTTAAAACATAATTTTTCTGGCATGAATAAATTTGGACTTAAAAAATGTTTATCAATTTTTGTTCGTCGACTTCTTTAGGTATGCATAACTTCCATGCATATATGTGCATTATTTTCATGCATCATTTCCAAATAAACTCAATCGACTAAAAACTTCCTAAACGATAATTAAGCCTAATTTTTAAATGGTAAAATCTGTTAATTGAGGGAGAAAATTCACTAATCTTGAATTTTCGGTCTTTGTTAGACCCCTACCTACATGTCATCCATGCTAGCACATTTAAGATCACACGATTACTATTTTTCAAATCCACTATAGGTTCGAATCCTGCCTCTCCCACTTGTTTGTTGTAGACTGGGAATATGTTTCAGAAAGAGTGTGAGAAAATAAACTAGTCGATTCAATGGAGCAATAATGTCATCAAGAGGAAAAAGGTGGAAATGGTCTCACTATTACTAAAAAAGAAGTGATAGACGTGGTTCAAACAACAAATATATAAATAACTTGGCTTGAGAAGATTGTAGCATGTTGAGATGTTCATTTAACTTGCGGGGCTAGAGTTTCATAGGATTTGCCCCCAACTAGTATTACAAAAAGGGAATGGGGGAGGGAGTGGGGAGAGATTCCTCTCCATTGGATAAATGGGGTTGGGACGGCGATTATACTTCCTTTCCTCGTCCCCGCCCAATTCTTTGACTCGCTCAAAAACTTTTTAAGTTCTTAGTTTAATGTCTTAGCTTTCATTTGTTCACAGATGAGCAGTTTTTTTTTTTTTTTCTTTTTCTAATTAGACTATATTTCACTTGGAGCATGAGTCGTTATTATTATTA